AAATCAGCATTACAAATTTTCATAAACTATAATTAATGTCATATTAATGCACTCTCTACAATGTGGCATTTTTTTCTATTTTAAAAGGAAGATATATTCCCCATTTCTATGGTCCCTAAAATAGAAAGAATGTTAAGCAGCATTTTATTACAAAGATGATACTGGTTTCACTGAGCAGAATAAATCATTAAAAAGCAACATTACATGTAATTACTACAATAATTCTCTTTATGGACCATTCCGAAACATAAATAAAAATACGGTAACACAATAATTAAATATAAACATTTAACAAAATAGAGAAATGTTTATATGTATAAAAGGCCAACAATCAAAGCTTATTCAGAAAAATAATAAAAACATTAAAAATATTCTCTTACTCAGTTTGGAGAACAACATTAATTGACGATTTTAACCTTCACTCGATGCCCTAGGTCATTTTGTGGCCCATATCCTAGTTATCTACTCAAGTCATTTAAATGTAGCTGAAAGCAATAATAAGGGGTTGCATAATTGAAATTTAACAAATTTGTATAATGCATCTTATTGTTAAAGTCACTAGGAAAACAATGGTCATATTATGGGTACTTTGGATAAAATTGGTTTGCAGTGGGAATGCCCCCTAATTTAGTCATGTCTAGAAAAAATGTGGGCAAATTAAATTGTTTGTCTGAACAATCTGTAATTCACAGAGTAGATTTTTAATTACTGATTAAGATCAGGAAATTACAAAGAGATTAGTTCATATCATAAAAGAAAAATTCACCAATTTATTATAAACAAAGATTGGATAGTCGTGGTTTTTTTTTTTTTCATGGTCTCCTCACTAACTGGTTTTCTGTTTTTCCACTCAGATACTATTATATTGTGGTAAACTTTTACCTTGTGTAAGATAGTCAGCTTAAATGTCTACTCTGTGCCAATATTGGTGGCAGGCAATGTTGATAAAAAATGAATTTAAAAATTAGACAAAATATTTGTCCTCAGTACCTTGAATAACTATGTGAGATAACAGATAGGTTAATTAAAGATATATTTGTGATAATAACATCATTATATATGTACATCAAAGAAAATATAAATAAACAAAACAAAAAGACAGCTAGGAATACACTGACATTTCTCTCAAAATAAGCTGCAACAATAGCATAAAAATGTTAGTAATTAAAATATTAACCAGTTTCAATTAGCAACAAACTCCTGCTGTTGAATATTTAATATAATAATTTTTACCATGTCAATTGCATGCCCTCATCTTGTGACATAAGACAATGATTTATTTTTATCTCTCACAGTCTGATGGGTTGAGTAGCCTCAGATGAGCATTCTCCCTGGGACTCTTGTGGGTAGCTGACGTCAGATGACAGCTGGATTTGGGTTGGCTGTCTCAACATAGCACAATCACCTGCCTGGCAGTTGATGTGGGCTTTGGCTGGGAGTTTAGCTGGAAATATTGACCAAATTGTCTACTTGCGGTTTTTTCATATCACTTGAATTTTCCACAGCCTGATAAATGGTTTGCAAAAACTGGTATTCCAACAAACAGAACCTACTAGAAACTGACATTGTTTTAAAAACTAAACCTGAAACTTGGCACAGCCTCTCTTTTCCCATATTCCATTATGGAATTTCCCAGGTTCAAAAAGAAGGAACATAGACCACTTCCTTTCAATGGGAAAGGTGTAAAAGGATTTGTGGCCATTTTAAATTTGTAACAGCCTGAAACACTCATATTTTGGTCACCAATTCAAAGACTCTCAGATTCACCTTCTGTTTGAGCTACTGCTTTGCTAAGTTCCAGACATGCTCCAACCACTTTACATGGAGAGAACCTGGCAGCATCTCACTTTCAGCTTCTCACCAGGGCTTTTCAGGAACTGCCATGTGGAAGGCCCATTGAAAGGAGAGTGGGAAGAAAGTCAATGTATTAACACATTCTCTTTTATTCCCCCCAGGCAGATGGATCTGAAATTCACAAAGTAAGGTTCTCAGAGTGTCACATGGGATTGAGTGAATCATTGCTCCAAGTGGTAGAGCAGTGATTATATGTGCTTATACATCAAGCTAAGGATTCAAAGTTAAGGAGATATATCTAAATAAGAGATCATAATTCTATGGACTAACTAGTGTCCTCTCAACATTTGTAAATTCAAGTTCTAATTTCCATTTGACTATGTTTGGAGTAAGGAAGCAATTAATATTAAAGGCGTTGTAAAGGTGAGGCCTGATCTGATGCAATTATTTAGTGTCTGTATGATAAAAGACACCTTCTCTCTGCCATGAGAAGACACAGTGAGAAGACAGCCGTCTGAAAAATCAGAAAGTCTTCAACAGAAATTGATTTGACTAGCATCTTGATATTGGAGTTTCCAGCCTCCAGAGTTCAGGGGGAAAAAATACATTTCTGCTGTTTAAGCCACCCAGTCTATAGAACTTTATTATGGAATCCCAAGCTGAGTAAGAATAATTTTGGTACCAGGAGTGGAGTACCATTGTAAAAGATACCTAAAAATGTGAAAGCAGTTTTGGAACTGGATAATGTGTAGAGATTGGAAGAGTGACGAAGTGCATACTAGAAATATGGATGAGGTCACAGATGAAGTAAAGGAGGATCAAGTTGTTAGAAACTGGAGGAAGAACAGTTCTTGTTATACAGTGGCAAAGACTTAGGTGAATTGAGTTGTAGTGTTTTGTGGAAAGTAAAATCTGTGGTGAGATTTCTAAGCAAAGTATTGAATGAGTGGCTTTTGGTCTCTGCTGCTAATAGTAAAATGTGAAAAGAGAGAGATGAATTGAAGAAGAAATTGTTGCCATAAATAAACCAGAACTCTGAGATTTGGAAAATTCTCAGGCTTCCATATTGCAAATTTAAGAAAAAAAAAAGAGAGAAAGAGAAAGTCTTCTTAGAAGAGAACAATAAGAATGTAGCTAAACAACCATTTGATAAACATATCCTGGATAGATTTAATTAATTATTTCAACAGCAGAATTTAAGAGAGATGGGATTATAGCAGCAGAGACATTGCCAATTTGAACTACAGAAGAAAGCACGATGAAATGAGGCAAGCAAGCTTGTTGAACTTGTTGGATTCTACAACAGAAAAATTGTTAACATTCAAAATTGTTAAAGGCACTAGTGAATGGGTCATTTAAGAAGTACAATAACATTTATTCTATGTAAGACAAAACACATGTGGACAAAATGAACAACAAAATCAAAGTTAAGTATCAAAAGAGAAAAAGAAATATTTTAATAGAAGTACTTTTTCAATTTAATGTTTCAAATGTAATTTTACAATAAACTTAAACTATAAAAATGTTTATTTCAGACATTATATGGTAATTTTCAGATCTTTTAAAAAGAAGCAATTGATAAACTGTGGGCCAGGTAAAACCTGGGTGTAAAAGGAAAGTTAGTTTGCTGCCCATAAGGAGATTCATAACTTTGTGTGGTAAAAGAGACACTGAGCAGCAGTGTATTAGAGTTCATATTACAGAGGAACCGGAGGTTTTATAATGTGTCCCATTTTTCTCTGTCAAGGGATAAGAATATTTTGATAATAGCGAAATTCTGACCACATCACAACATGTATTTCTGGTGTTGAAACAGGACAATTAAATGGCTTTGGAAAAGACTTGAATAGTTTTCAAACTACCCATGTATAATAACAGGAAAAGTGTACAGACAAAGAAGTCGATAGGGAGCAAAAGTAAATACAGTGTAAGCTTAGCACCAGAGATTTCAGGTCATGAGGAGCTCTGTAGTGAGCCACGCGGTTAAATAAAGACAGTCTAAATAAATAGAGCTTAGTGCATTCACTTGCTTTAAAATATTTAAAATAAATACATGAAGCATAGTGTATTTGTTGGTTAATGAGGCAAAGTAACAGGAAAGGTGACTCTGAAAAATATAGATATTAACTTATGAAGCATGAGGGCATCTCTAATATGTTAATAACATGGAAACATAATAATCCATCATTACCACGCTGAATGAACTTTCCAAGGGTTCATTTCTTTACCTCTCTGTAGAGAGGTGGCTGTCACGTTCCATTTTCTGAAGTTTTTAAATGTTATTTCTCTCTTTCTTTTTCTCTCTTTCAACACGAAAGGAAGAGTTGAGAGAAATGTCCCCCAGTGTCTTGAATTTGCAGCAATTTTATCAAATACAAAAAAAAAAAAACTTGAAATATTGTTATGAGGTCAATTTTCCATTTATCAAAATTGCCTTTCTTGACAAACACAATTCATTGGTCATTTTAAGTTTTAAGAAAAGTGCTGTATTTGATGGCTCATTCATATTTTTATTGTTTGAAGTTGTCCACGTTTTGTTGATTGCATATTCTTTCTCTTCAGCAAAATAGCATTACATCGACGAAGAACATGGGATCCCTTGGGCTAACACCACACTAAATGTAACCTAACATTCTTAGATGCTGGGTCTGTAATGTGAGTAGGACATATACTACACAGCATGAGATAAAGTTTAAGCACTTTACTGTTCAACTATAGGATAAAAGTTTATTCTTTTTAAAGATGAACCAAAGACTCTGGGATTCCTTCCAAGTAATTATTCATATAAAAAATATATACAATTTATAAATATATTTATAAATATTTCTATATTATATATTATATATTTAATTTATAAAATATTTATAAAAAATATATAAATATATAAACTCTGGCTAGTCCTGCACTCTGCTTCCAGCAGGGTCTGGCCCTGTAACCCAGGGGACAAGGCCAGATAAGACATGGCCACTGGGTGCCAGCCAGCGCCTGGGCCAGGCACCAGGTGGGAAGGGCTCTGGCAAATCAGCCCGACATGGCCCACAGCCCCACAGCGGGGCCCATCCAGGGCCACACACCTGCCCCCTGGGTCCAGCTGGACGGATGGGGAGCCCCACCCTTTGCCCTTTGACTCCACTTGTAGGTGCCCTCGCTGGGCTCCTGTGCACTGCCCCACACCCTGTTCTGTCACCAGCCCCATTGTGATGTCATAAGAGCCCAGCTGCCCACCCACAGACTAGTGGGTGACTCAGGAGTACCCTCTCCATTTCTTACTCTGACTTTTGTCCGAGCGCATCTTGTATGCTATGGGAAATTCCCTAAGCAAATTGTTTTCCTTTATCTGCCACAGGGTCTGGCAGCGGTGGCAACCACGACGGTCTCCTCTTGTCCATGCGGACTTTTCGGCTGGCCGGCTTCACCCCGCAGCTCCTGCGCATGTGCCTGCCCCGCGAGCCCTACAAGGTTCCCGATTCCTCTTGTTCCCTCCGCGAGGTCTTGGGCCTTATTTTCCATCGAGCTCCAATTTCACCAGGAACTCGAGCGCCCTACTGCGGGATCTGCCTCCTCTTGCCTGGAGCCCGCCCTCAAGGAAGAAACCCGTGCTACGCCACTTCGCACGCGAGGGACCCGTGAAGATCCCTCCTCCAAGCCTAACGTTTCCACTCCGACTGCCTCCCCTGCAAGTGCCGGCCCCGATCCTGAAGACCGCGGTGAGAGCAGAAGATGGTGAAGAACCCATGGAGGTGGACAATCAAGTAGAGATCCTGAAGACGGCGGTGAGAGCAGAAGAGGGTGAAGAACCGATGGAGGTGGACGATCAGGTAGAGACCCAGGGGCAGGAGGAGAAAGGGGGCCCCTGTAGCAATGCGGGAGTAGCACCCACCTCGAGGCCCCTGGAGACTCAGGGAAACCTCGCTTCCCTCAACTGCAGTCCCAGGACCTTAAGGAGGTATAAGGGAAACCTGACAGAAATGAATCACAATGTCAATGATTACAATGTGTTAATATGTTTAACTTATGTTATTTGCTTCCATCCCAAGGGCCTTGGAGTGCCCAGCGCACCCACCCCTGCAGGAGGCGTCCTTCCCTTTGGGAAGCCTGACCCAGCTCCAGCAGCGCTCCCTGGCCCAGTTCCCGGCTGCTCCCATTGGCCAGACAAGGCGGCCTCTCTGGTACTGGGGAAAGACCACCAGCCCAGCTCCTCAGCCAAGCCGATGGAGTGGGAGGCGACCCAGCACAAGGATCCTCCAGCTGTTGCCACAAAGGGTCCTTCTAAACCAAGGGCTGCCAGCCGCAGTTCGCGACAACCAAAATGGTTAGTGCAACCCCAGCAGCTGCGACTGGTCCCTCCGCAGCAATGGAGGTGGGGGAGAAACGAGGGGCCCCCACCCGCTAAACGTCCCCGCCGATCCGTGAAAGGATTCATGGACACCGGCAAGTCAAGTCGAACAACATCACCCAGGAGACTGAAAAAGAAACATGGGAAGAAATTACAGTAAACTGCAATGCCAGCCCGCCTGCCCCAATGTCTCCCCACCTGCTCTCCCTGCCCCAGGCCACCTACCTGTCACAGATCCCAACTCCTCCTCCTACTTCTGACTTTACCCATGTGGCTGCTGGGCCCCTCATCCTGCCCGCCCCTTAGCTTTTGACCACATCAAGAATTGAGTAAAAATTGATATCTATGGCTAGGCACAGTGGCTCAGGCCTGTAATGCCAGCACTTTGGGAGGCCCAGGCGACTGGATCACCTGAGGTCAGGAGTTCAAGACCAGCGGACCAACAGGAAGAAACCGGTTGCATCTGTACTAAAAATACAAAATTAGGGCCGGGCACGGTGGCTCACGCCTGCAATCCCAGCACTTTGGGAGGCCGAGGTGGGTGGATCACGAGGTCAAGAGATCGAGACCATCCTGATCAACATGGTGAAACCCCGGTCTCTACTAAAAATACAAAAAATTAGCTGGGCATGGTGGCGCGTGCCTGTAATCCCAGCTACTCGGGAGGCTGAGGCGGGAGAATTGCCTGAATCCGGGGAGCGGTGGTAGCGGTGAGCCGAGATGGTGCCATTGCACTGCAGCCTGGGTAACAAGAGAGGAACTCCATCTCAAAAAAAAAAAAAAAAAAAAAAAGTCAGTCCTGGCCAATCCCAGTGGCTATACTTAAACAATTCATAAACCAATGAGTGTTCATACTGTGTTCAAATAAGGCAAACGCGGAGCTGTAACCAATCCAGCCATTCTGTATCTCCTTTCCAATTTCCGTACGTTAATTTCCTTTTTTTGTGTGTAAATTTTCCACCATATGGCTGTGGCTGGGCTGGATCCTCTGTGAATCTGATGTGATTTTGGGGCTGCAAGATTCATGAATCATTCATTGCTCAATTAAACTCCTTTAAATTTAATTTGGCTGAAGTTTTTCTTTTATCAAGTCCTATCCTACTGGACAAAAGTAAGTAGCTGAATGACCGAATCTCTTCTTCTACAAATTATTTATATCATACCTCGGAATTTCTGAACACTATATTTAAATTCATTTATGATTTACCTATTTTTAATTTACATTCAATTTTTAATCACATAAAACCATAGTGATTTTCAAGGGAGAGGCCAATGGAATTTTATTACGTGATTTCTTGTCATTATTACACAAACCCAAGCATGAGTCCTAAATCTAGCTCTATGTTAGGGTGTTCTAAAGGGACAGGACTAATAAGATAGATGTATGGCTGGGTGTGTTGGCTCATGCCTGTAGTCCCAGCACTTTGGGAGGCCAAGGTGGGTGGATCATGAGATCAGGAATTTGAGACCAGCCTGGCCAATATGGTGAAACCCCATCTCTACTACAAATACAAAAATTAGCTAGGTGTTACGGCACATACGTGTAATCCCAGTTACTCAGGAGGCTGAGGCAAGAGAATCACTTGAACCTGGGAGGTGGAGGTTGCAGTGAGCTGAGATCTTGCCATTACACCCCAGCAAAAGAACAAGACTAAGTCTCAAAAAAAAAAGATAGATAGATAGATGAAAGGGAGTTTATTAAGGAATTCTGACTCACAGGATCACAAGGTGAAATCCCACAATAGGTCATCTGCAAGCTGACAAGAAGAAAGCCAGTCTGTGACCCAAAACCTCAAAAGTAGGGAAACTGACAGTGCAGCCTTCAGTCTGTGGCTGAAGGCCCAAGAGCCCCTGGCAAACCACTGGTGTAAGCCCAAGAGGCCAAAAGCTAAAGAACTTGGTTTTCAACGTTTGAGGACAGGAAGCATCCAGCACAGGAGAAAGATGGAGGCCAGAAGACTCAGACAGTCTAGTCCTTCCATGTTCCTCTGCCTGCTTTTATCCCAGCCACACTGGCAGCTGATTAGATGGTGATCACCCAGATTGAGGGTGGATCTGCCTCTCCCAGTCCACTGACCCAAATGTTAATCCCCTTTGGCAACATCATCACAGACACATCCAAAAGCAATAATTTGCATCCTTCAATCCAATCAAATTGACACTCAATATTAACCATCACAAGTCCACCCCTTGTCGACTTGAACCCATATACATCTCCTGAAATCACATATTATCATCAAATAAAGACAAGAATAAGGTCATAATTATGTTCAACATAATAAACCTATCCTTTGTACAACCAGAAACACATCAATCTCCAATGCAGATGCTGTTGCATAAAGTTAACAACACTTAAATTCTGACATGAAGTCAATAAATCTTATGTCACATGACGAAGAAAAAAGAAAGAAAATAAAATAAATATATGTTAGCACAAGAGTATACCTGCACACTCATGTTCTTAAAAAAATAAGAAGGAAATACTCATGACAATTATAGTCCTCTTTTCTGCTACTGGTCATGTTGTTGTAGCTGGTATTGGTGCCTACCTTCTTCTACTACCCATTCTATATTCCTTTTGCCTTCTGCAAGCACCTCAGCAGTCACGGTTTTTTACCTGGTGGAGTGACCCTCAACCTTCATTTCTGAAGGATCTGGGCCATTTGCAGCCCTGCCCAGATTGGGCTGTTGTAGTTTCCCATTAACCTTAATCACAGGGCATAGTAATACTAAGAGATTTCCTAAGGGCTCTTCTGTATTCCACCCATACTCTTCTTTACCTCCACTGGGAAGTAGTCGATTTGCACAGCAGCCTGGATCTGTTGCAGAGCCTTCTCCTGTTCTGGACCCCACTGAAAGCTGGCAGCCTTTCGGGACACTTGATACATGGGCCAGAGTAACACACCAAAATGAGAAATGTGTTGCCCCCACAATCCAAATAGGCCCAGTAGGCAGTGTGCCTCTTAGTTGTAAGAGGGGCCAAAGGAAGCAACTTATCCTTCACCTTAGAAGGCATATCTCGACAGGTCCCAAAACACTGGACCCCAAGAAATTTTACTGAGGTAGAAGGTCCCTGAATTGTAGTCAGATTCATTTCCCATCACCTGGCACTCAAATGTCTCACCCAAAAGTAGTGTGTTTGCTACTTATCACTCACTTGATTCAATCAGTATGATGTCATTAATGCAATGGACCAGTGTGATATCCTGTAGAAGGAAAAGGCAATTAAGATCTCTGCAAACAAGATTACGGCATGTAGCTGGAGACTTGTTGTACCACTGAAGTAGGACAATGAAGGTTTATTGCTGGTTTTGCCAGCTGAAGGCGAACTACTTCTGGTGGGCCTTGTGGACAGGTATGGAGAAAAAGGCATTTGCCAATTTAATGGCTACATACCAGGTACCAGAAGATGTGTTAATTTGCTCAATCAGTGATACCACATCTAGTACAGCAGCTGCAATTGGGGTCATACTTGGTTTAGCTTATGATAATCCACTGTCATTCTCCAAGATCCATCTGTCTTCTGCACAGGCCAAACAGGAGATTGGAACAGGGATATTGTGGGAATAACATCAACTGTATCTTTCAAGTCTTTGATGGTGGCACTAATCTCTGCACTCCCTCCAGGGGTGTGATATTGTTTTTGACTTACTCTTCTTCCAGGTAGAGACTGCTGTTGATTTTTCATTTAATTAAAATGTCCTCTAGGTCAGTAGAATGGAATATTGAAACCAATGAATGAAATAAATAATTATACACATCTATTATATTTATACAGTAAAATAAATATCATTTGCATTGTTCTTTAGTAAGTGAACCACAGCCGTCCCTTTTCTTAGGTTTCATATGAAAACTGCAAGTTTGACCGCTAACTCATTGAAGGAAAAATCAGAGATGAAGGTGAGGGATAATACCATACTTTTATGTGTATTTACATGAAATGTTAAATATTAACTACTCTTCTACTTTTCCTTTAAGACTAACTCTAGCTAAGTCTGCAGAAGATATCAGTTATGATGCATTTTTAGCTATAATAATAAGTATAATATTAAAAGTGGAGTTTATATTTAAATTCAATTTATAGGCTGAATTATTATAAACAAAAGGTAATTGTTTGAAAATTGAAACTTAAATCTATAATACATTTATATAATTAAGTATGAATAATAATTATGAAGAGTGGTATATATCTTTTAAAATAGAATTTTAATAATAGTAGCATTGCTGGAAGTGCAGTTTCTTTAAAAAAAAGTTGGCTTGTTCTAAGCAAGATTTGTCATTTTATAAATAGAATACAGGAGCTCAAGTGTAATACTTCTTAAATTAAACTTTGAAATGAAGATTAAGATACATTTGATAAAAGAAAAAGAAACTGTGACTGCTTTGAACTTATTTAAATAAAAATATCCTGGATGATTTATACTCCAGGAAACTGAAAGCTAGACAAACAAACAATAAAGATATATTTGTCTACCTGATCTAAAGTTAGCTAACATCTTTTAAAATATAACAGAAGCTATTGTCAACAATACGTAATCGCCTCATTCTTTTCCTTATTGACTTGATTCCCTGACTTTATGTTACTCACTAGAAAGTTTAGTGCCATTTTACTTTCTTTTCCAACAATTTCATCTGAAAGAGGAAGCATATTGGACAAATGTATGCACATTTTGGTTTTTGAGACAGGGTCTCACTCAGTTGCCCAGGCTGGAGTGCAACCTCCACCTCCCAGGTTCAAGAGATTCTCCTGCCTCAGTCTTCTGAGTAGCTGGGATTATAGGTACACGCCACCACACCAGGCTAATTTTTGCATTTTTAGTAGAGATGGAGTTTCACCATGTTGGTCAGGCTGGTCTTGAACTCCTTACCTCGTGATCTGCCTGCTTTGGCCTCCCAAAGTGCTGGCATTACAGGTGTGAGCCACTGCACCCAGTCACCCATCCTATTTAATTGGCCTTCTCATGGGTACACGTTCATCCTCCTAGATCGGATGTTGTTAATTCCACAGAACCCATTTGAGATAATGTGATCTTGACACTGACATTAGCACTTCGCATGCCATTAGTCACAGTGATTGTTCAGGAGGACATGGTATCCAACACAATGCAATGAGACTCAATTGTGAGACTTTAGAGAACAATTGGAAAAAGAAAAGTTGTCCTTTCTGCTAAGGGATGCTGTAAAGATAAGGTATATTTCTGGATGATTTTGCAAGGATCTTATCACTAGAAATTGGAAGCCTGTAGGAAAAGAGAGAAAACAGAGAGTATCCAATGTAGAGTCAAATAGGTAAAACTGAAGCTTGAAAGATGTGGTTGACTCTCTTGGTACCAGCTATCTGGATAAATTCTACATTTTGCTTTTTGTTCTTGTTTATTCTTAAGGTGGTTGGAATTGAATTTTCTATTACATGTGACAATAAAAGGCTCAACATACATGTAGCTCAACTTATAAAACTTGAAATGACTTGTCCAGTGATACTTGCTGGAAAATATGGCAGTATTGTTCCAAGTCCAATTTATGCCAAGGCCTGGGACCCATAAATATGACCACAGTCCAGTCATACAGAGTGACAGTTCTCTCTGCTATGTATTTGTTTACATTATAGGACTGGTGTCTACACAGTCTTTTCTTTTAAGTGTCGAAATATTGTATTGCTCCCTATTTCTCTCTTAAGTTCTCTTAACATTTGCTTTGTATATTGAAGTGCTCCATTAATGGGTGCATATATATTTACAATTGTTATACACTCTTGAGATGATCTGATCCCCTTATCATTACATAATGAATTTCTTTGTCTCTTGTGACAGTTTTTTACTTAAAGTCTGTTCTATAACAGAACCATAAGTCTATTTAACATTGAAAATGTGTATTCTTCAAAAAAAAAAAAAAAAAAGGAAGAATCAGTGCCTAAGGCAATTCAGAGATCCTCCAGGCTGCCACTCCAACCTCAGGCACATGGCTCAAGGTTGTATCTTCCTCAGTTTTAGAGAGTAGCAATTTAGCAGAGGACCTGGGAGACAGGGACTATTCCCCAGCTCCAAATAGGCAGGGCTGACCTGTAGAGGTGTGAGACTGATGTTGCCAGCCCAGTGGGCCTGGAAGGCAGAAATTCAAGACAAATAAGATGGTTCTTGTGCCTTAAGGTCTAATGAAACTTGCCTTGATAGGTCTTGAACTTGACTGAAACCTGTCTCCGTTCCTTCTTTTATATTTCTCTTTGTTTGAATGGGATGTCTTTTCCATGAATGTTTCACTATTGTGTGCATAACTTTTCTGATT